TCTCAGCATTAGCATGCTCCCTCAGAGCTCTGCTTCTCTCAGAGTCAAATCACCGTTTGGATTTTTAACAAGTGCTTTATTAGGTTCAAATGTGCCCCCCCCGCCCCCCCCCATTGCCCAGGGCATAATTAGTAAAAACAGCCCCTTTTGCTAAGTGTGATGAAAACCTTTCTTTTGTGAAGCAACAAGTACCCTTACTCAGGGAATGGCCACGAGGAGTGAGCCACACACACCTCTCTTTCCTCAAGACCTGCAGGCAGGCCCTTCTCTCTGCTGGGGGCCAGGACCAAAGGCTTTCTGCTTAGAACCATGAATGAGACTGTGGCCAAAGAGGTCCCCACCTGATGGGACATGTCAGTTAGGAGCCCTTGCCTTCAGGGATATCCAAAAGCATGAACAAAAGAGTGTTAGGGGCTTCCTACCCTGGCCCAGGTGTGGGAGCCCTGTGTGCTTTGGGGGGCCTGATGTCACACCAGCTTGCCTTGGCTTCCTTCCCACAGCTGTCAGAAGTGCTCTAGAGGATCAGGAGTCTGGAGAATGTTGATGGGGCTGGGCAAGTCAGAAAAGATTCTGCACGGTTTAGTTTTCTCATTTGCAAAAGTGGGGGAGGGATAGCAATTATATAATTATAATAAAAAAATCAATTATAATAAAATAATTATAATAAAAAAATCAATTCTGTCCACTTTATAAAATTGGCAAAGAAGCAAAGTGAATAATGGACTTGGAGAGTTCTAGATAAATGTGAATATTTGTAGTTAGCTGGCAGTCCCTCGGTTCCTTTGTGGAACAAAATAGAGAATGAATGAATCAGACTCACCTGGGATGTACCAATTATGATCTTGCCCAGTTGTTTAAACTCTGAGAGCTTCATTTTAAGTGGGTGTGGCTTGAGGTCAAAAGTGTGGATTTTGGCATCATGATCAGACCTTACTTACCGGCTGTTTAACTTTGGAAGATTTATTTGTGTCTCATTTTTCTCATCTGTAAAATGGGAATGGGCATAATTCCTACCTTATAGGGTTATTGTAAAAAAAAATTTTTTTTAAAGATTTTATGTATTTATTTGAGAGAGAGAATGAGAGACAGAGAGCAAGAGAGGGAAGAGGGCCAGAGGGAGAAGCAGACCCCCCGCCAAGCAGGGAGCCCGATGTGGGACTCGATCCCGGGACTCCAGGATCATGACCTGAGCCGAAGGCAGTTGCTTAACCAACTGAGCCACCCAGGCGCCCTATTGTAAAAATTTTTAACATCACTCATACAAAGTTTACAGCTCAGTGTCTTCTACTTAGTAAGTGGTTAGTATAATAATAATAATAATAATAATAATAATAATAATAATATATAACCTTAATTACTCTCATTAAAAATGAGATTATGTCTATAAAGCATCCTGCACAGTGCCTGGCACATAGCAGATGTTCAATATATAAATAGGTCCCATCTCCTCTCCTTCCTAAGTGAACCATCCAATCCATGCGCTAAAAAAAAAAAAAAAAGGCCCAGCTGTGTTTCCTGTTTAATAGAAAGGCTGTTGTAATGTAGAGTGAGTGGATAGAGCCCAAAAGGGTCCCATGCCTTTGAAAACTCTGGCCAACACGGTCACGGCTTTCTCCAGGAGAAAGAAATGCCTTTAAGGAACGAGCTGGGGAGAACAAGGATAGAAAATCACAAGCCACAGGTAGCCCCAGGGTGGCTGCTGAGGCCAGGACGGCCCCCCCCCCCACCCCGCCTGCCCATGGCAAAGGCAGTGAGGGCTCTGCAGATGTGTTCACTTGCCTCCCACCATATCCTAAAATCTAGGCAGCCCCTCAAGCACCGTTAAGTTAACATCTACGGTTTTCTCCCTAAGTTGAAATCATTTCAAGATATAATTTCAGGGTATAATAAATATGACTCTTTAAAGTGAAACCATTATCCCTTGTTAAATGTATTCAGTGAAATCTAGATACCACAGTGATTTGATATCCATCATCATCCAGTTAAAAAGCATATGAGCAAACTGTTTCTTTAACATCAGGAAATTTTATTTCATTCTTTTTCTTAACTCATCTTTCTCTTCTATCTCTCACCGAGAGATACTACTACATTATCCTAATGTAGTATGTTTTTATGTTTGATAGTCCTTGATAGTCACCAAATAGGCATTTCCTAAATATTATGTATGAAATAATATTATATATGCAATATATAATATTCTGTAAATACCAAAAAACTTTTTCTAATTTAAATTTTAGTTGACAGTACATTGCAATATTGGTTTCCGGAGTAGAATTCAGTGATTCATCACTTACATACAACACCCAGTGTTCATCACCATAAGTACCCTCCCCCTCCTTCATACCCATCCCCCATCTAGCCCGTCCCCCACCCACCTCCCTCCATCAACCCTCAGTTTGTTCTCTGTCATTAAGAGTCTCTTATGGCTTGTTTCCCCCTTTCCTTTTTTCTTTTCCCCCTTCCCATACGTTCATCTGTTTTCTTTCTTAAATTCCACATATGAGTGAGATCATATGGGATTTGTCTTTCTCTGACTGACTTATTTCACTTAGCATAATACACTCTAGCTCCATCCATGTCCTTGCAAATGGCAAGATTTCATTCTTTTTGATGGCTGAAATATTCCATTGTATATATGCCATGTCTTCCTTATCCATTTATCTATCAGTCGATGGACATTTGGGCTCTCTCCATAGTTTGGCTATTGTTGATAATGCTGCTATAAACATTGGGGTACATGTACCCCTTCAAATCTGTACTTTTGTATCCTTTGGGTAAATACCTAGTAGTGCAATTGCTGGGTCATAGGGTAGCTCTATTTTTAACTTTTTAAGGAACCTCCATACTGTTTTCCACAGTGGCTGCCCAGTTTGCATTCCCACCAATAGTGTAGGAGGGTTCCCCTTTCTCCGCCTCCCCGCCAACAGCTGTTGTTAATTTTAGCCATTCTGACAGGTGTGAGGTTGTATCTCATCATGGTTTTGATTTGTATTTCCCTGATGATGAGTGATGTTGAGCATCTTTTCATGTGTCTGTAAGCCATCTGATGTCTTCTTTGGAAAAGTGTCTGTTCACAGTCCAGTTTCATTCTTCTGCATGTGGCTGTCCAATTTTCCCAGCACCATTTGTTGAAGAGTCTGTCTTTTTTCCATTGGACATTCTTTCCTGCTTTGTCAAAGATTATTTGACCATAGAGTTGAGGGTCCATTTCTGGGCTCTCTGTTCTGTTCCATTGATCTATGTGTCTGTTTTTATGCCAGTACCATACTGTCTTGATGACGACAGCTTTGTAATAGAGCTTGAAATCTGGAATCGTGATGCCTCCAGTTTTGTTTTTCTTTTTCAGAATTGCTTTGGCTATTTAGGGTCTTTTGTGGTTCCATACAAATTTTAGGATTGTTTGTTCTAGCTCTGTGAAAAATGCTGCTGGTATTATGATAGGGATTGCATTAAATATGTAAATTGCGTTGGGTAGCATAGACATTTTAACAATATTTGTTCTTCTAATCCACGAGCATTGAATACTTTCCCATTTCTTTGTGTCCTTTTCAATTTCTTTCATAAGTGTTCTATAGTTTTTATTTTATTTTTATTTTTTTTAAAGATTTTATTTATTTATTTGACAGAGAGAGAGGCAGCGAGAGAGGGAACACAAGCAGGGGGAGTGGGAGAGGGGGAAGCAGGCTTCCCGCTGAGCAGGGAGCCCGATGCGGGGCTCGATCCCAGGACCCTGGGATCATGACCTGAGCCGAAGGCAGACGCTTAACGTCTGAGCCACCCAGGCGCCCTAGTGTTCTATAGTTTTTGGAGTACAGATCTTTTACCTCTTATGTTTAGGTTTATTCCTAAATATCTTATTGTTTTTGGTTCAATTGTAAATGGGATTGATTCCTTGATTTCTTTTTCTGCTGCTTCATTATTGGTGTATAGAAATGCAACAGATTTCTTTTTTTTTTAAGATTTTATTTATTTATTTGAGAGAGAGAGAGCATGAGAGGGGGAGGGTCAGAGGGAGAAGCAGACTCCCTGCCGAGCAGAGAGCCCGATACGGGACTCGATCCCGGGACTCCAGGATCATGACCTGAGCCGAAGGCAGTCGCTTAACTAACTGAGCCACCCAGGCGCCCGCGAAATGCAACAGATTTCTGCACATTGATTTTATATCCTGCAATTTTGCTGAATTCATCTGTTAGTTCTCGCAATATTTTGGTGGAGTCCTTTGGGTTTTCTACATAGACTATCATGTTGTCTGCAAATAGTGAAAGTTTTACTTCTTCCTTGCTGATTTGGATGCCTTTGATTTCTTTTTGTTGTCTGATTGCTGAGGCTAAGACTTCCAGTACTACATTAAATAGTAATGGTGAGAGTGGACATCCTTGTCTTGTTCCTGACAGTAGGGAAAAGGCTCTCAGTTTTTCCCCATTGAGGATGATATTAGCTGTGGGTCTTTGGTATATGGCCTTTATGATGTTGAGGTATGTTTCATCTATCCCTACTTTGTTGAGGGTTTATATCAAGAAAGGATGCTGTATTTTGTCAAATGCTTTTTTTGCATCTATTGACAGGATCATATGGTTCTTATCCTTTCTTTTATTAATGTGGTGTATCACATTGAATGATTTGTGAATATTGAACCACCCCTGAAGCCCAGAAATAAATCTCACTTGATCATGGTGAATGATTCTTTTAATGTGCTGTTGAATTTGATTTGCTAGTATTTGATGGAGAATTTTTGCATCCGTGTTCGTCCAGGATATTAGCCTGTAATTCTCCTTTTTAGTGGGATCTTTGTCTGGTTTTGGAATCAAGGTAATGCTAGCTTCGTGGAATGAGTTTGGAAGTTTTCCTCTCATTTCTATTTTATGGAGCAGTTTGAGGAGAATAGGTGTTAACTCTTCTTTAAATGTCTATATACCAGAAAAATTTTAAAATATATTTTTAACTATGTTAAAAAAACACATAACAAAATTTACCATCTTAACGATTTTTTTCTTTTTCAGTTGGCTCTATACCCAATGTGGGGCTTGAATTCACCACCCTGAGATCAAGAGTTGCATGCTCTGCTGACCGAGCCAGCCAGATGCCCTTCCATCTTAACTATTTCGAAGTATATAATTTGGTAGTGTAAGTACACACACAGTGTTGTGTATAATTAGAAATGTTAATATTAAAATATTTCCATAAGGTTCAAATGTTAAAATTACTTCTTGAATGGGTGATCATTATAATTATTATAAGTGTACAAATAATCAAAATAACATAAATATAACATTTTTTAAATACTAAATTAAATAGAAAAAATGCATTGGACTACATTTCTCAATGAAATTAACATGATTCTCCCAATTAGATAATAAATACCACTTATTATAGAATAAGGAAGGGTCCAACATCACTTCTGTTCTTTTTGGAAAACTTATCTGTTTTGTTTTAATAGATGTGAACAGTGGCAAATCTTGCTTACCTGAACAAATTGATAGGAACAGAAGATGTTCTATTGTGATAACTTTACTAATTATTTGAACTCTCTTTGGGTTCAGTGCTCCAGATCACACAGTGGCCCATTATCAAAAATGATATTTTCCTTCAATTTTGTTGAAAGAGAAAAATATTTCCTAAAGGATTTGTTATCCATCATTTGAACCATTCACTTTCTCAATTTTTGGAATATCCAAAAAGCCTTTTGTAAAATGTATTCAGTGACTGTTAACTACATTTTTTATGTTTTCACCTTGTCTAATCCAATTTATGAAGAAAGGGTTGGAAAATTAAAATAGTGTTAATTTCAATCCACTTTCCCAATGCATTTAAAAAAAAATAAGATGCTTTTATTTTATTACATGCTTAAGTATCGTTTGTCAAATCTTAGAACTCAGATTATAGTTCTTTGTCATATCTTAGAACTTAGCTCATTCAATTTATGGAAAATGCTTGTGCATAATCTGTTTAGCAAAGCCAGTCTTCCTTGTCAAACCAGTTTGCAAATCAGACTTACTTCTCTAAGAAAAAGTCTGACTTAAATTTTTAATTTAGATAACATTTCAGTGTATTTTGAAGAATATTATGAAAACCACCATAAGAAGGATTACTTCTAATCTTACAAAAAAGATTACTAGAAGCAGTCAAGATTAAAATCATGAAAGATATAATTAATGTTTTATGACAAGTTATAAAAGCAAGAGTAAATCTATGTTTCTCATCACTTAGTTTCCATAATTCAATGTTATGTGCAGCCCAAATTATAAGCTGTTTATGAAACAAAAAACATGATAAAAGGTATGTCATTTTTAGGTGACTGTGCATGCATGTGTGTACTAAATCTTGGAGTTGGCTTTTGGAAGTAATTAAATAAGAACCTTGTATGAAAACACAGAACTAACTCCTTTAATTTCATTAGACATTGAGATAAGCTCTCCAACACATTCATGAAAGAGAAAGGTATATATTGCTGACAATAAATGTGTCTAGCAGCTAGTATTTAGTTTTCTTTTTTGATTAATAGGAGGTGTAGGAGGAAAAAATTTTAAACATTTTATGAGATAAAATAGTCTCAGGATTGATTGTAATTGGAATACATATCTCATTATTTGATAAAATAAGTTTTAACTACCTATTGAATAATGCATATTGCATTTGAAAGTAATCACATAAAATTTTTATCGGTGGGTTTTATCCAGTACAACTTGTCAAATTTAGTAGCCCCTGAAAACGTTTCAGTTGTGTTTAAAAGAATTAGCAAACCGATCTTGGTTTGACTGTTCAAAGATTTTTCTTTTTTCTTTTTTTTTTTTTTGGTTCCTCCTAGGGTTGCATATTGAGAATAGCTGAAAAGGGTTGCTTATGTTCAACATGGGGGAGGGGAAAGCATTTTAGTCTTTATTATTCCTTACAGTGTTGTCTTTTCTTTCTTCTCCCCAGACCCTGTCAGAAACAATGCATTCTTTGACAGGGCTTGAGGAATGCAAACATGACATCCTTACCAGAAAATTGCCACCAGGCCCACTGCCAGTACTCTGTAATATACTAAAAACCACTTCTATGAAAGCCTGTTAACCAAGGTTGTGGCTTTCTCCTAACTAAAGAAGGGGTAAAACAGGGAAGGAATGGAAGTCCCAAAGTGGGCTCATTGCACCTTATCATCAATAGGGAGACTCACCCCAAAATAATATTTTTAAAATTTTTTTAAAGGAATTTGTTTATTTATTTGAGAGAGAGAGAGAGTGAGTGAGCACAAGAGTTGGGGGGGGCAGAGGGAGAGAGAGAGAGAGAGAGAGAGAAACAGGCCCCCCGCTGAGCAGCGGGCCCTACATGGGGCTGGATCCCAGGACCTTGAGATCATGACCTGAACCAAGGCAGACACCTAACTGACTGAGCCACCCAGGTGCCCCCAAAATAATATTTTTCATTGTCTTTTGTGTTTGGTGCCCTGAAGGATTTTACATCCTAGGAGTACACCATAGTAAGGTTGGGAAGGAGGAAAGGAAACACCTTTCTTTTGTAACATGGGACAAGGGCAGTTAAGAGGGGGGCAGAGTGAGAAAAGGAAACCCATATAACACCAGGAAGTAGCATGGGTGGGATTTGAGAGCCTGCATTTGATAAAATTAGCCACATCTGCAATCCCCTTAGAAAGTCCTATTGTATGGCACGTCTTTGCCCACCATCTATACACCACACCCAGACACACATACACACTCACATACGCTCAGAAGCTCACACTCACCAGGTACTCCCACTCTCATACACCTTCACGCTTACAAACACTCTTGTACTCACGCACACATATACGCTCAGAGACTCACATATGCATGCACCTTCACGCACACCCTCACTCACCCTTATGTACACTCACAAAATCTCACATGCTGAAACATACAGGGCATCCACACACACGCTCTTGCTCACTCCCACACTCGCGTACTCACATCTGTACGCACCTACAGTCACTAAGTCACACCCGTTGCAGAGGTTGGTGGAAGGCTCAGAGATGATTTTTTAATTGCTTGGGTCACACACTACAACCGTGTGTCTTCCAGTTTTAAGACCACTGCTTTAGGGGCGCCTGGGTGGCTCAGTTGGTTAAGCGACTGCCTTCGGCTCAGGTCATGATCCTGGAGTCCCAGGATCGAGTCCCGCATCGGGCTCCCTGCTCGGCAGGGAGTCTGCTTCTCCCTCTGACCCTCCCCCCTCTCATGTGCTCTCTCTCTCATTCTCTCTGTCAAATAAATAAATAAAATCTTTAAAAAAAAAAAAAAAGACCACTGCTTTAGGACAGTATCTAGAGCTTCCCTCACTCAGGCTACAAGTCTTGCTTGTAGTCAATTGAGACTAGCGTATTTGAGAACAAGAGTGTTTTCAAATGTGAAGGTGTATGAGTGTGTGGTGAGCGTCTGTGCATGTGAGTGTACATGTGGATGGTGGAAAAAGGGAGGGTGAGGCAAGAGGGCATCTTTAAAGGAATGTTGAAACATCTCGGTATCTCCCAGTGATGGGTGAGGACACATGAGATTATGCTTCTTCCTTCAGCAGACACTGATGTGGTCCATATGGCCCATGTTTGCTGCTGGGCTCAGTGTTGGAGTTTAATGGCAAACAAGACAAACATGGTCCTTGCCCACATGGAGCCTACAGTCTGGGATTCAGATTGGAGCACAGGCTCTAGCAATTGAGTGTGAGAGTTATGACAGGAGCTGAGAGCACTGAGGAGGAGCACCTGGTTGCAAGAGGTAGCGTCCCTTCTGTCCACTGGGGCCTGAACAATGGGCATGGAGTGCTGGATGGAGTAGAAGCAGAATGTGCTTGGCCCGGTGCCATCCAGTATGGCAGCCACTAGCCGTTATGTGGCTGTTGAGCACTTGAAGACATGGCAAGTCCAAATTGATATGTGCTGTAAGTTTAAAATACACACTAGATTTTGAAGACTTTGGTCTGAAAAAAGAATGTAAACGATTTCAATATTTTATTCGTTAATTACATGTTGAAGTGATGACATTTTGTTAAATTAAATCATTGTTTATGATAAGATCCCTCATTTCTTTTTTTTTAATTTTTTTTTTATTCTTATGTTAATCCCCATACATTACATCATTAATTTTAGATGAAGTGTTCCATGATTCATTGTTTGTGCATAACACCCAGTGCTCCATGCAGAATGTGCCCTCCTCAATACCCACCACCAGGCCAACCCATCCTCCCACCCCCCTCCCCTCTAGAACCCTGTTTGTTTTTCAGAGTCCATCATTTCTCATAAGATCCCTCATTTCTTTCCACTTTTTTCCGGTGTGGCTGCTAGAAAACATAAGATGGCGTAAGTGGCTTGCATTCTCCTGCCCTTTTCCTATTGGCCGGCGCTGCCCGAGGCAATGAGAGCTGTCTGTGCACAGGCTCAGAGATGGGTGAGGGTTCAGGTGTTTGGGGACCAGAATTGCCGAGCTCAGGGTTTGAGGGAGGGCTGCTGAGAGCCAAGGCTGGAGAGGTCACGGGGCAGCAGCAAGAAGGGCCCACAGAGCCCTTTCCGAGCATCACTGATGCAACAGGAAGGATTTTAAGCAGGGACAGGCCTTGAGCAGACTGATGTGCATTGGAAATTCTCCTCTGGCTTCCTTGTGGAACATGGAATGGGAAGTGGCAGCAAAACTGAAACCAGAAGACCGGGCAGAAGATTCTAGCAGTGGTCCAGGTGAGAGAAGACAGTGGCTGGGCTTGGGAGTGCTGGGTGTGGTTCGAGAGAAGTGAACCACCAATAGGAGTATGTTTCTTACAGACACACAGGAATTGTTCCAGCAAGGAATCCTACAAGAACCAGTCTGCAGTGTTTGCCTCTGACAGTCATGGACTCCCCAAACCACAGACTGATAGGGCAGGAAGGGAGCTTGCAGGTTGCCTGGGCGTTCTTCTTTAGGGGTTCTGATAGATGGGGCCATTTAATCCCCAACCCCCCAAACCAGATGAGGTAGGTGCTTGGCTTCCTGGGCTCGAGAGATGAGATTTTCTTCCCCACAGAGGCTCGTTAAAACAGAAGCAGCTTGAGTGCACCCCAGGAAGCAGGCCAGAAAGCCTAGTGGGCCCACCTGGCATGCCATGTCCTAAAGGAGGCTCTGGATGTTGCTATGCCACAGAACATC